ACCTGTCAGAGAATTTTCAGGATGACTGTGTTCTTGGACGGCCTTCGAGTAGGCCCCGATTTCACTCAGCTGCTCCTGGTGCAGTAAAACACCCTTGAAGAGGTGTTCCAAGTGACTCTTCAGAAAGAGAACAGGCATCGTTCTTTTTATGTATTTCATTTGCGGGTTCTATTTGAAACTTTTTGAAATCTGTAAGAGGTACCCCCGCAGGACGGGCTTGCATCTAATTTGCATCCGTAAAGTCTCGAGGTGGTTGTTCGCTGGCAATTGGATTTCATTAGAATAACTTCATGAATTTTCAGGACCCTGTGTCCGATTAGCTCCAAGTACTTCGGATTTTTGATATTTTACCCGTGTTTTTAAATACAAGTCTTTTTTTAAAAGCATTTGTATTCCAAAGTTTGTTTGGAGTCCTAACCTCCCAAGAAACGGAAGTACTTCTTTCTCTCAACATGTTCAAATGTAGGTTTAATAGAAGCAGACTTGTCAATTTAGAAAGTAGTATTTACGTGTATTAATAGTACGAGTCTGTACATATTTTCGGTTTCTATGATAATTTACATGAACTTACTACATGTACTAGACAGTACAGGTATGTTGCACAGAGCTTCGAAGTCGTTGGCTTCATCCTTTTACATGTACCGGTCGGTATGTTCTGTAGCCTGAGCCCAGCCGGAGATCAGATCCCAGTATCTTTGAGTCGGGCCTACCGGCGGTATTTTAATATTAAATAGTACTGTCTGGAACCAGGTATTCTTATAAAGAAAGATATTTGAAGCAAACCACGGACCTGCGGCGTGCCAGCATTGTCAGCTGATCCAGTCAGCGATGGCCGTGAAGTCCTCACTGAAGAGGGATTACCAAATCGGATATCCCTCTGAATATTCTAAACTGCAACGGTTTCTCTGTCTGTATGTGTGGTGACCACTTTTGGGATCGAAGATCGAAGGTTATAATTGCCAAACAAACCCGCTACGGATCTCGTGATGGCAGAGTTTACCGAAATTCGGTGGAGCATAAGGACGGAGCATATGCAGATAAGCCAAAAGCGATGTGGGCACACAAAGTGGCACATCTGTGTCGCTTTCTGCCTCGTCGCGGTTTGTAGCCACCTTCCCCATCCGAGGCCGTGCCGTCGGGTCGGAATATCGTGTTTCTGCTCGAATGCGACCCGAAACGAGCCGGCGGGGAGCCCCGTCACGTTGCCGAGGCACTGTTCCGCCTCTTTGTCTGGTGACCGCGCTCTTGGTGAGATGACACCTTGAGCAAGAAAGTAGACATGGCCGCAAATAAAAGAACCGGCCGATCTGGCTAGGAGCTAATATTCCATGTACACTTCAATAGGTGGCCGTAGCGACAGCGGAAAACGAGAACATCCACAAGCCCTAATTTGTACTGACGTAAATATTAATGCATCATATCGGTAACCAGGTGTACACTGTTCAAGCAAGCAAAACTTGCATTCCGCGGCGAGGTCTGTCATCGAAAAAGGCACGTGACAGAAGAAAGTATTATGTGGAAGCGGTACCCTCGGGCCGTACATTTACAACAACAAAAACCCAATGGAAAAAGGTTGCCTTATCGCTATTAATAGTTTTCTTTTTTCAGGAGTCTCTAGATAAATCATTTAGAACATATCCAAAACGCCAGGATAACAACGTCGGTGTCCACGTGGGGCCCGGTGGCTGTACGCGGCCAACCGCTAACGATGGTGTTCGAAGTTTGAACGAAGAGTTTAAACTTTGTCGAGAGGAGTCGTCATGTTCCTTACTGTGTTCACGCTCCGCCACCCCCGGGAGCAGTCGTATTGATAATGTTCAAAATTTCACTCTTGAATTAATGCTAGGCTAGCATTCCGCACAACGCGGGCCGCAGAGCGTACGTGGTAGCTTCCGATTAGATTTATTGCATGTACCGGTACATGTACAATTTCAAGCTTCGTCTGCCCCTGTGTCAAACTTGGCGCATCAAACGCGTTTCTTTATTCGAATAAACATTGCAAGCTGTCGTGCTCACGAGACTCGTCTTGCAAGCAAGTAAACGTGGCAACTGGAAGCGATCGATTGAGTTCGAGAGACCATACCCTCGTATGTAAGAACACCACATGCAACGCGTTTGTTTGTTGCGTAGCTCTGTTGGACCCAGCTGTCGCGACGAGCATGGCTGGGAGGCTAAGTATGCTAGTCTATCCGGCACACGGCCCCCGCAACCGCTGTCTCTCTCGCGTCCATACTGGTACAGTACAGGTACTGTATCCGACCTGAGCACCGCGTAAGCTGCAGTCGCATGTGCTGGTCCCGTTGCTTCCTCTCTGCTTGGTTGTTTGCCATCTCGTTCAGCATTGTGCTCACTTCTCAATTCACCGCCATCCGCAAACACTGTACTGCTAGCGCAGCTTCGTGTTGTGTCTTTAAGAGCACCTTTTTTCCATCTCAACCTCATTTGGTCATCATGCCGACGTCCAGTACCCGTCGCAATGCCAACCGTGCTCGGTGTCAGTTCGCTGGTTGTGACAAGTTCGCTCAGACCCGAGGACTGTGCAAGGCTCACGGCGGTGGCTCTCGTTGCCGTGACCCGCAGTGCAACAAGCTCGCTCAAAGTCGTGGCTTGTGCATTGCCCACGGTGGTGGCCGTCGCTGCCAGTTTGACGGCTGCCAGAAGCTGGCACAGTCCAAGGGCTACTGCATTTCACACGGCGGCGGCCGTCGCTGTACCATCCCGAACTGCGAGAAGTTCTCTCAGGTCAAGGGCCGCTGCAAGTCTCACTTCAAGCTTCTGACGGTCGGATCGTACTCTCCGTCCCACGGCGTCGTGACCCCACCCAGCTCGACCGGCAACTCGTTCATCTCACCCACTAGAACTAAGCTTTCGATCGACTTCCTGGTGAACCCGCTTTTGCGCAGCTCTTCCATTGGCGACAAGGTGCCGACCAAACATATTCAAGTGCCTGCCTTACGTCCCATTACGCAACTCGCTAACCCATTCACCTCGACTGGCATGGGCTGCCATCCTCGATACGACACAACAAGTGTTGGGCAACCAGCGATCATTGCTGTCGTTTCTCGAGTCGCACGGACCCGTCACGTCCCACCCGGCACCCCAGCCTCAATATGCGGCCGCGCCGGGACACTACCAGGCACCAATTCTGCCACCGCTTACGATGTACCGCTAAGCCGCAGCACTTGTACCACCCTGTGAGTAGTTGAGGGTATGCATGTTAATAGAGACTACGTAGGGCGCTGGCAGTAAAGTTAGTGCCTCATATTTAACCCTTAAGTGAGCTTGTACTACACAAAATCCTCCCATAAAATTTTACGTTTGATTGTATTTCGTAGTAGTACTTACCAGTATTACTTCAGAGGTTGTTTTTAATTCTCCTAGTACTACTGAAGAACTTGCTCTAATACTGAACATTCATAACGGATTCCATACCTTTAAATGCATAATAAGAACTGTCTCAACAGTGATCTGATAATATCAGAAATATCGCTATTTAAAGCTTATTAACTAAGCCCATTTGCCGTTTCGTTCAAGGTTTAATAAACAACTGCATTTTCTGTTTTCGTCCTCGGTTCTTCACAAGCTCGTCCCTAAAAGCAGTTTGCATCGCACGAAGGTCACGCGCGGAGCTCGACAACATTCCCATTATATCCGCGGCTTTTTTTTTTTTTTAATATTTCATGAGAAGAGTAGCGTGAATCTTCAATTAAAATGTAACTTAGCCCTCTAAATAGCAATAGCTCTAAATAGTAATAGCTGTGGTCATTTGTACTGTGTACAGTATGTTTTGTCAATTTCTGCCGTTTGGAGTTGCTCTCTTACAAAGTTCAAGTAACTTGAGAACCGCTCCAGCAGAGGTCACCTGCCACATAGAATTGTGGAAATACTACATATACCGAGCGAAACTCCGGAGCGGTTTCTTGTAAATTTTGACAGGTGTACTGTGATTTACAGACCCGGTACCGGTAAAGCACAGATTATTTATGAAAACCAAGGGCCCGGATGTACTGTAAGGAGACTCCATCATCCCTGTGAAGCTCAACAGAAATGAACAAGCATCTGTACATGTACTGTACTGCTCGGTACATCCACAGCTGGGCCAGCAGGGCTGGCATCCAAAGTTTGGATGCCATCCAAAATTTGATGTTTGGATTCCAAACAGCAAGAGATGATCTGCAAGCTGTCTTGATACTGTACCGGTAATTAAGTTGAATTAACTGTTGATGGTGGAGTCTCCATTGTCAGCTGTACAGACGATCCTTTCTGTATTGATAGCGTCGGAAAGCCGCATTTTAATATTATATAGAGGAATCACATTAAGGAGTTGTACCCAATTTAAGGTACATACGACTCTTCTTTGACTCAGAGCTCACAAATTGGGTCGGCTGGCTGGCAAGCACAATATTTGTTCTTGCACTATTAATAGTAAAGCATTTTAATATTTAATTTAGGAAAATGCTTTTGTGCACTCACATGCATTACGGATGCTTACAGCCTCTTTTTCTGGGAAATTCAGGGAGCAAACAGCAGATGTCACTGTTACATTCTTTAATCCACCTTGACTGAATCGACCCAATCTATAGTTATCTACCGCTGAATAATGATATTTGTCTTTTTTAAATTACTATTCACTAATGAGAGGAAATAAGTCGGTTTATCTTAAGCTTGTAGGCAAGCGGACCCTCTCAATCACTTTATTTGGAGGGAATTACTATTGGGGATATTGAACGAGAGGATCGTCTGTAGCACCATGAAAATTATTGTATTTTTTAAGGGATACTTAAGTATTTGTAAAAGCTCATTCACCAATACATGAAATATCATCCAATGTCTTTCTCAGCCGCTGCTGCAGCGCCTCCACGAAAATTCATGCAATTCTCTCTTTTTGAGCTGCTATTTAATACATGTATTGTGCCTTTCCGTTATTTTGGCTAATTAGGTAAGAAAAAGTATGAATTTCGGAGTCGTACTTAACAAAAAACATAGGGCAAGAGGATTTTTATACCAGCAATTAGTTTAACTAGTGACGATTTAAATATATTGTACCACCGTACCGTTTTAATTCAAGTATGTGAGATGGCTGGTCGGAGCTCGTTTTCATTGAAATAGCCCGATTGCCGATGTCTTGGTCGGCATTCGGACATTTCAGCTGAAAAAAGCTCTTCCAAGCCTCATCAATATCTTAAAAAATTAACTTTTTAATTAGATATGAAGTGGCGCGGTGTCGTGCTCATGTATTTTTACGACATTCAGTTAAGCGCGGTTTCTACTGTCTTAGGTGTATCTGAGAGAAGCCTCAGTAGGTGGTATCACAGGTTTGTCAAGACTGGCAATGTAGACAAAAAGAGCTGCAGTGAAAATACCTCAAAATGGCCTCAGAATGTGTGTTTGCTTGTTCAGAAGTATGTGAAAGATCATCCATGTTTTTTACTTTGAATTGCTGCGTGCTGAACTAATTCAACAGTTTAACATGCATCGTAACATGTCAGATGCCACGATATGTCGTGCGCTTAAGTTTGCCTTGGGCCTTACTCGTAAGGTTCTTACTTAGCGTGCTATGGAGAGTTTACCGCGAAAACGCCAGGAATTTGTCCAGCGTCTTGCATCGATTCCGTTCTAATTCGTGAATGCCGCAACCCTAGGTAGCTGCTCCTGAATACGCTTGTCTGTAGCCCGTCGTAGTGATGTCAGACGCTGTGCTCGGGGGCGTGCCACGTACACGAACAATAAGAGCACGAACGCTGCATGTCCGTACTTCCGCAGGCGCGCCTTGTGCCAATTTGTAGCAAACAATGCTTCCATGTCACTTGAATTGAATGGCACCAGCACGTAATCCTTCTGGGGCGCGTGGTTGGTGGGCTTGACGTACACCTTGATAGATTCATTCCACGTGAGACCTGACGTCGTATCGAACACACGCTTGATATGCCACAGTAGAACGTCGTATCCGTCCGCAACTAAGAACATGAAATCATGCCCTGGAACTTTGTCTCTGCACGGGGTCAATGGCTCCCCCGATTTCACGCATAAACGACAGTTGAGCTGAGGTGGAAGCTCAGTTGCGATTTCCATTTAATCTACACACAATTTGACAAAGAATTCGTATCTTAGTAATAATATAAGTGACACGATCATTACCAATACACCCATGCTCACCTACTTTTCGATTCACTAGACACTCTTCTTGTCGATCAGAAGTTCCGTGTTCACCTTCTGGGCTCAAGGCCCTTTGTGATCTACACAGACCACGCGTCCTTGAGGACGGCGACTAACTCGCCTCACCTCTCCCAAAGGATGGCGAGGTGGCTGTCCTTCTTCGCGGAATACAACTTCCGCGTCGAATACAAGCCGGGCAAGCTCAACGTGCTTGGGGACGCTCTCTCTCGGCGTCCCGACTATGAGTTGGCCCACATCACGCGAATGACAACGGATCTATATGATCGGATACGCATGGCGTATCGGGACGATGAGGCTGTCGCGCCTATCGTCAAGCTCCTTAAGGCCGGAACGAGCGCGAAGTCCGACTGGCTCTCGTCGCAACAGCGCTCACGGCTCCACCGATATGAGTTGAAGGAGGGCCTCCTCTATTATCGGGTGGAGCCCACTGATCCTCCACGGGTGGTCGTACCCAACGACGAGGATCTGAAGTTCGACATCCTCGCGGAGGCGCATGACGCGCCCTCCAGCGGCCACTTGGGCCGCGAGAAGACCTTTCTGTCGGTCTCTCAGTCCTTCTGGTGGACCCACATGTACAAGTGGGTCGCCCGGTACGTCAAGACATGTGAAACATGTCAGCGGGTCAAACCCGCAGGGCACTCTTCGGCTCCACTACAGAGCCTGCCCGTACCGGCTGATTGTTGGAAGTCGATGAGTCTTGACTTCATCTTTGGGCTTCCCGCCGACGGACACGGCAACACCGGAATTTTGGTGTTCGTGTGTCGGCTGAGCAAGATGGTACATCTTGCTCCAGTTCCCGTCACTGTAACGGGCGAACAAACCGCAAGGTTGTTCGTCGATGGCGTGTTCCGCTATCACGGTCTCCCGGAAACGATTGTCTCGGACCGAGACCCGCGGATCACTGCCGCGTTTTGGAAAACGCTGTTCCCTTTACTGGGAACTCGTCTGCAGATGTCCACTGCGGACCATCCGCAGACCGACGGCCAAACAGAGCGCGTCAATCGAGAGCTCGAGGACACTCTGCGCAGTGTGTGCGCGGCAGCACCACGTACGTGGTCGACGCAGCTTCCAGTTGTTGAGTTTGCGCTCAACAACGCGGTGCACGCGTCCAAGGGGTTTACGCCGTTCTACTTGAACGGCTTCCGCCACCCCAGAGTGCCTCTCACTCTTCGAGGAGACACTGACTCCTCTATTCTAAGTGGGGGAGAGGCTCGGAAAGCCCTTTCCTCCCAGGTCTCGGATGTAAGACCAGTTTCGCTGCGAA